TCGCGCGTCCAATGTGGTTTTCGACTTTCCCATGTTTTTAACGCTGACTGTTAAATAAAAAAAACATCAAAGTTAAAAGTTACACTTGATCTATGTAAAAATTTTAACTTTGATGGGTTTTTTTATTCTGCTTTTGTTTTGTATATGTTTTTTTATACCTTGGTGGCGTTCCTTTAATAGGGGCTTTCGTGGCCGAATGATTAAGGTCGCTGACTTTAAACCAATTGCCTCTCATCGCTGTAGGTTCGAGTCGGTTCTACATGTGACAAAGTTATCTCACGGAACATCGGTGGTTCACTAAAGTGCCCGTTTGTGAGTGAAATAAGTTACAGAGGGGCAGCCAAGACCTTCCTCCACCAGTGAAGCTGGAAATGATTTATACTGTGTAGGAGCAACCCCCTAAAAAGCTCCATTAATTACCAAATTGAAAATTAAAAAAAACATTGAATGATTGTGCTTGAACCTTAAAGGTTAATGTATTAATTTATGGTGAGATGAATAAAGTTAACTTTCTTACGAATAAAACAAACTATTTAATAAATTTCCGTATTTTCTCTTTAAAACGACAAATTTGTTTTCATAATTATTGGATGATCTGATGAGTGCATGGTGACATCACATTTAATGTGGCTTATCAATTACATTTGGTTCGCCCGCTTAGGTCAATAGAGAAAGCAACAGATTTGGTTTGATCCTCGAGGAAAAAATTTCCTTGGCGTTGATCTCAGACATTGAATCTAACGGTCATTTGTCTTTCACTACTGATTCAGAAATTATGCATGGAAAGTATAGTCAGTCATTTGCGAAATTGGTAATTACTGGATAGTTATCAATGCAAGCCGATTTGGTCAGACTTCTGTATTGTTTTTCTAATAGACTTACATTATGAGAAACATACCTTAAAATTTAGCATTTATGCTAAAGATGTGATTTTAGGCGAATCAAATGCCCGACATATGAAATCAAAGCACTGAATGTACTGATGGGGAGGCTATGAGAGAATGTTTCAGACTTATAGTGTCTTTTCTTTTTGCTTAAAATATGCTACCAAAATAAAAAGATATGCACATTGCGCTATTTATCCTTACTGTTGTGTTCAACCATTCATATATATGGTTAATGTGGTTGACTATTCATTTTGTTAATATTCCAGAACATTTCATTGAGGTCTACATTCGACTGTTAATCATACAAATTTTGAAAAACCTAAACTGTCAATAATAAATGACATACCAGCAAAGTATGACGACTGTTCATTATCAGATAACAATAACATTTTACAACTGACGGTTCCTTATCAAAATCACAGGAACTTGAAATTCTATCAAATAAACCAATATTAATTATAATATCCAAATATACCCCCTATATACTATAAAAAACACAAACACAGGAACTTGAAATTCTATCAAATAACCAATATTAATTATAATATCCAAATATACCCCTATATACTATAAAAAAATTTATAGTATATAGGGGGTATATTTGGATATTATAATTAAATATTGATTATTTGATAGAATTTCAAGTTCCTGTGTCAAAAATATTCTAGGACTGTTCATCATAAATACTTTATGTCATTTTAATATTATTGAATGATAATAACAACTGCAAGTGATGCAACATTTTTATTGAACATAAAAAATTATACACGTTTTAGATGTACCATAATTGAGTATCAATAAATACTGTCTTGTGATGAATATTAATATTCATCGCTCTACGGACAGAAGGTTGTCTTCTCCAGAAGCAAATCTCGAATAAAATCACGTTTTCAGAAAATTATTCCCATTTCATTACTGACGGCGTCGGGATAATATTAAAGCTAAATATTTCTTGAAAAAAATACATATCTGCAAAGCTTATTCAAAACTGAATCAACCTAAGTGAAAATTGATCAGGAAGTTATATCTTCTTTTTTTACCGGCCAACACTCAACCAACTAATGGTAGTTAATCGATAGCTTGTGTATTTTTAAACCTCACTAGCTTGAAATATATACTGCGGAAAATCTGTTGTTAACAGGGTGTGCGTTATTACGTAGGGTTTTCCCTGTCGACCATTTCCCTGCAAATAGATGAGAACACCGAAGCCGTCCAGTGCTATGAATGATGTTATAAATGGCGTGTTTTGGAAGTTTTTGTTGAAACTTTCTCCAATTTCCTCCAGAGGCGTGCACGTCGCGGAGAAGGCACACGGGAAGGACATAGTCAAGTCATCATATGAGTACCAGAGGTGATTGGTTGACCTGTCGTGACTTACTCTGGAGGTTTGGCGCTAATAGATGCCCCGTTTTTGTTGTCGTCAGTCAGAAAGTTGATGCCTTGACGGTATTGTCGTCTCCTTTACCACCAAAGAACGAAGAATGGGCTTCAGGAAGAATCTGCTTGAAAAAGACGTCCCAGATGCTATAAATCTCGGACATATGGTTATTCCGGCGCCGAGTATAAATAAACTTAAAACACACTCACTTTTGTTGAAAACAAAACAAAAAAAAACCAACAACACATTTTCTGTTAGTAATTTTTCAAGTGTTGTAAAATGAATAAGAAATTCCTCTTATGCCGCCGATTATTTTTAGAACACAAACATAAAAAGTTCTTTTTTTTATTTTTTTCAAATAAACATTAATCACTTCAGCGCGCGCAAATATCGTTTTCAAAATTAAAGTTTCGTAAGATATGTTTAATGACTTCCCCCGATGCTCGACTGTAAGTTAATTTTGTATATGTATGCGTTTTTTTTTTTTTTTTTTGTTTTTTTTTAATTAAAGCTTCTTATTCTTTACACATTTTTTATGTATCTCATAATCTTGTATTGAAAAATTTGAATTTTATTACACATGGACTATCAAATTATGATGTATGCCCTAGAATTGATAAACTTTCTAATTACACAATACGGGGTCATACTGATCTTTGCGTCTTTCTCCTGAAATAATTATTTCTTTGTTAAAACATATTTGACCACATATTTCTGTCAATTAACTGTTCACTTTACTTCCGATTTTTGTTGTACGGAAACACATGTTTCTATTTGTGTTTTCTAATCAATTCGAATCTATAAATCAGTTTAATGGGATCACCACCGGGTAAACGACTACTAGGTACTTTGGTCATGTTTTTATACCCAAATATTTGAATGTTTCTATTGGGATTAAAATGAGCATAGTTAAGTAAACAACTGGTTGTATAAATCCCTGACCTGTCTAATTCTAATTATGAGATCAGTGAATATATAAGACTTTCACTACAAAATATTCCTAAACAAAAGAGCACATGTTTAAATTTATTCCTATACAAATAAAAGATCAGAGAAGGGATCTGTCAATTGCCAAATATACTTTTATGTTAAAAGTTTGATTAATGAATTATGTAAGATGAAAATATAAGTATTGCTTTTTTATTTTGCTAATGTAAAATGTAATATTGCTGCTGGAATTTGTCGGAAGGTCCTTATAGGGGTTTTGTAGTTAAATAGTTTTTTTCGGCGATAATGGTTCAAGAAAATAATGTTTCAAAACTATATGCTCATCACCATCAGTGGAATTTTTAGTTAAATGTAAATGCAAATATTTACTAACAGCTATGATATAGCGGTTTATGACCGTTTTCCGCGTACAGCCTCCTGGGGTGTACTAATAAGTTAGTTTTTTTTTTCCTTAGTTTTATCACGCAAGCCCCCCATGATCCCCATGTCTCCCCCTCTGATGTAAGCGACAGTTTACAATTATTTGTCTTTAAAAAATATTAAGGACTTTTAATGGTTTATAACAACAAAAGAACATGCATGATATTGAGAATACGGCATTGTAGTTATACACCGGTCTCAAATATCGTCAGTAAGATCCCGGTGTACACAATGGAGAATACGGTGTTGGAACGTTCTAGTTAATGACCCGTCATAAAACAGTTGGTCGCTGCGTAGTAATTGGAAAATTGTTATCAAGAATAATAAAGAATATTTGCCACTAAATTAAAGCATTTACTTACAAATTTTTCATTTATGCTTTTTGTTAAAAAAATATTGATAAAGTTATTATTTTGAAGGGTTTTCATACCAGAACTATTTATTTACAGACATACGTATGCCTAAACCTGATTACCGCGGCAGTATGACGTCACGGAGTAGTGATTTAAACAAAAATCAAGAATTTTTCAGAGAATTATCATCTTTACAAATTGCAGATATGAAATTAAAGAATGAAAATATTTTCATATTGTAAATGTCTGTGATGAGTGATGAGTCAGCTTAGAAAAGATCAAGGTACTATTTTTTGACCTGATTACCGCGGCAGTGACCTGATTACCGCGGCAGTAAGATTTGACGAACAGTTATTAACATTGGGTCGGCATAGCCTCCCCAAAAAATGATTATGTGACATAAGGGTATCCGGCACATCAAGTACATTACATAGATCCAAATTAATATTTGCAAGTTGGAAACATAGACACATTGTTCTTCATTATTAAAGTATCCCTTATCTATCATTGGCTATAGATTCTAAACAGGACAAAAGAACAAAATGCAATATTATTCAATCAAAAATTTAATTGAAAAGGAGTCAATTTTTATATATTAATTCAAAATGAAAAACATGATCTGCTTAACAAGTATTAACTTCACTCTTCCTGACCCTGAAACGAAAAATGAAGTCTTGGTAAGAATAATAAAGAGTGAAATTGATAAAAAAAAATCTGAAATTCACATTGCTTTATTTCTTAACAATTTATAGATAAATATAGTATGGTGTCATTGTAATAAATGACTGACTCAAACAACTTTTAAAGTAATAAATACTCTACAGTTTAATTTGTCAGATCTATATGTACAAGGTTATTTTATTAACTTACCATGCTGTATGAATCCCACTGTCGCAGTACACACTCATGATTCCAAAAGATGAACCAAAATCATCGTCATCGTAAGTAACTTCAACATCTGCTTACAATGAGGTCAGGCTCACCACAGTGTGCGAGGTCGTCATCGGTTGTTGTCAACAACTCTAGTAGCAAACGACATCATTTACATCATCGATATTATAATTAACATCAGCGGCATCATCCTTTACATTATCGGCAACATCCTTTAATTCATCAGCATCATCATTTACATCATCCGCATCATCATAAACATCATTGGCATCATCCTTTACATCATCTGCATCATCATTTACATCATCGGCATCATCATTTACATGAACGGCATCATCCTTCACATCATCGGCATCATCATTAACATCATCGGCATCATCATTTACATCACCGGCATCATCATTTACATCATCGGCATCATCCTTCACATCATCGGCATCATCATTGACATCATCAGCATCATCCTTTACATCATCGGCATCATCATTTACATCATCGGCATCATCATTTACATCATCGGTAACATCATTTACATCATCAGCATAATCATTTACATTATCGGCATCATCATTTACATCATCGGCATCATCATTTACATCATCGGCATCATCATTTACATCATCGGCATCATCATTTTCATCATCGGCATCATCCTTCACATCATCGGCATCATCATTTACATAATCAGCATCATCCTTCACATCATCGGCATCATCATTTACATCATCGGCATCATCATCATCATCATTTACAATGCTATCATCACCAGGGTTTCCTGCGTCTAGCATTCTTTCTTCTTTATTTTCTGGCTCATTATTTAACCATACAATTTCCTTTTCCATTCTATAACGTGGTTCACATCCATGCTGCCCACAAGTACAATAACTTGGATTGAATTTCTTTGTGATTATCTTCATCTTTGGTGGTGTCCCTGGACTTGTTGGTTCTGAAATAGAAATCAAAACATATATGAAACATCATAAATATAACAGTTTGTTATTTTATATACCATACGTTAGAAATGGTTTAAAGGAGCTCCGCAGAGGAAAAAATACACAAAACATAAAATTTCTATTTCTTAAATAGATCAACCGGTCCATTTAAAATGAAAAATAAAATGAAAAAGAAACTGACATATTCTTCTAATAGAAAGAATTACTAAAAAAAAAAATAATTTCCTAAGGAGTTGAAATAGTTTTCCTATATAAGTAAGTAACAAGTAAATGACAATCTATTGTGGAAAAAGGAACTGAAATAATTTTTCTATAACAATTTTCCTATCGATAAGAGGGACTGAAATCATTTCATTGAGAAAAGGACTGAAATCATTTTCCTATAGAAATAGAATGTCAAATTTCACTTTCCTGTCGAGAAAAGATACTGAAATGATTTTTCTTTTGTGTAAAGGGACGGCAATAAGTTTCTTATAGAAGTAAACAAATATTTGAACATTTTCAAAACAAACAAAACTACGGTGTTTTGTTTGGGCCAGTGTGTTTTCTCTGAGAAGGAAAAGCGAGAAAAATGACAGTGCGATGGTGACAGTGCAACAATACGATGATGACAATACGACAGTACGATGGCGAAGCACGATAGCACGATGGTGACTGTCTGTCGTATTGTAACCATCGAACTGTCAAACTGTCACCATCGCACTGTCATACTGTCACCATCGTACTGTCATACTGTCACATCGTACTGTCATACTGTCACCATCGTACTGTCATACTGTCACCATCGTACTGTCCATACTGTCACCATTGTACTGTCACCATGGTACTGTCGTGACAGTACGATGGCGAAGCACGATAGCACGATGGTGACTGTCCGTCGTACTGTAACCATCGCACTGTTTAACGTTACCATCGTACTGTCATACTGTCACCATCGTACTGTCATACTGTCACCATCGCACTGTTATACCGTTACCATCGTACTGTCAAACTGTCACCATCGTACTGTCATACTGTAACCATCGCACTGTTATACCGTTACCATCGAACTGTCATACTGTCACCATCGTACTGTCATACTGTCACCATCGTACTGTCACCATGGTACTGTCGCCACAATCATACTGTCACCATCGAACTGTCGTACTGTCACCATTATACTGTCATACTATCACCATCGTTCTGTCATACTGTCACCATCGTACTGTCACCATTGTACTGTCATACTGTCACCATCGAACTGTCGTACTGTCACCATTATACTGTCATACTGTCATCATCGAACTGCCATGCAGTCACCATCGTACTGTCACCATTGTACTGGCATACTGTCACCATTATACTGTCATACTATCACCATTTTACTATCATAATATCACCATCGAACTGTCGTACTGTCAGCATTGTACTGTCATACTGTCACAATTGTACTCTCACCATTGTACAATCACCACTGTACTGTCATACTATCACTATCGTACTGTCATAAACACCATTGTACTGTCATACTGTCACCATCGTACTGTCACCATTGTACCGTCATACTATCACCATCGTTCTGCATACTGTCACCATCGTACTGTCACCATCGTATTGTCGTACTGTCACCGTCGAAATATCGTTCTGTCATCATCGTATTGTCACCATCGTACTGTCGTACTGTCACCGTCGTACTATCGCCTTCTTGTGTGGCATGCGCACAATTAAATAATAGCATTGAAGAAAACGTTGACAGTGTCAAAAAGACTCATTTAACAATGGCGTAACATACACGTAAATTCTTGTTTTTGATGAGAGTTGATAAAAATAATCAATGTCTTTTATGAAAATACTATATTTTACAAATTAATTCAATACAAAATTTCTTGGGTTAGGCCTAGCTGTTTAAATACAAAATATGAAGACACAGGTGTAAATTTTTATCATAAAGCTCTTTGATTATGTAGATAGATTTTGATTTCACTTTCGATTTCCTTGATAGTTGATCTTTGATAGAGTTAAGATTTTTTTTTATAAAAACACCGTATCATTTTCGCAAGCCATGTTGAGTGAAATGTTTGCGCATGCTTGACAGGAAGGCAACAGTACGATGGTGACAATACAACAGTACGATGATGACAGAACGATGGTGACAATACGACAGTACGATGATGACAGAACGATGGTGACAATACGACAGAACGATGATGACAGAACGATGGTGACAATACGACAGTACGATGATGACAGAACGATGGTGACAATACGACAGTACGATGATGACAGAACGATGGTGACAATACGACAGTACGATGATGACAGAACGATGGTGACAATACAACAGTACGATGATGACAGAACGATGGTGACAATACGACAGTACGATGATGACAGAACGCTGGTGACAATACAACAGTACGATGATGACAGAACGCTGGTGACAATACGACAGTACGATGATGACAGAACGATGGTGACAATACAACAGTACGATGATGACAGAACGATGGTGACAATACGACAGTACGATGATGACAGAACGATGGTGACAATACGACAGTACGATGATGACAGAACGATGGTGACAATACGACAGTACGATGATGACAGAACGATGGTGACAATACGACAGTACGATGATGACAGAACGATGGTGACAATACGACAGTACGATGATGACAGAACGATGGTGACAATACGACAGTACGATGGTTTGTCACCATCTTATTGTCGTGTTTCTCCATCGTACTGTAGTATTGTCACCATCGTACTGTTACCATTGTACTGTCACCATCCTACTGTCGTACTGTCACCATTGTATTGTCATATTTCACGCTTTTCGTTCTCAGAGAAAACGCGCTAGCCCTTACAGAACACCGTTCAAAACATGATAACTTTCTTTTCTATAGCAATAAATAAGCAAATTACAAAAAAATAGTCCAGGCGAATCGATCAATAAACAAGTAAATTGTTATATTATAAATTGTCCTAGATTTCTACTTTCTATTTTATCTTCCATTTAGTCATACTCATGCAGAGAACTACTACTATAAAAAGTTAACTTACTGTAATGGATGTTATACAGCAGGTTTGGTTTATACCAAATGTCCCTCGGATCTTCCATACCCTATTCCACGTAATAATTCCGAAACATTGTCTGATAATGATTGTATATTGCTTGATTCAACTGTTGCTAATGCCGCTCTGGACATGTGACGTAATGACGTTATAATTATTGTAAACGTAACAATACAAGTACGTCATATAATACTGCACGTTTGTAACGTCGTTTTTCATTGGATAATCATGACGTTTATATAGTTTTATAATACTGCACGTTTGTAACGTCGCTTTTCAATGGACAAACATGACGTTTACAGAGTTTTTATCCATCTCCACACAGTGATCTCCCCTTAATTCTTCGGCGTAGATCTCTGCCACCAAGGTCCCGATATATCAGAATTTCTGATATACTATATTTTTTCAAAAATTGTTTTATCTACTGCTTTTATCTATCAGATAAGTTTTCTCTCATTTATTTAACAATGTTTATGAATAAATAAATAAACAATATGAATATTTAGAAATAATTTTAAAAATTATGAGATTATTTTCTACCGAGACGATATTTTGATATTTTATAGATTTTGAATTTATTTTTCGTTATTTTGTATACTTTCGATAATTTTTTTATAAACTATATCGAACGTAGGCACTAAAAGTTAAAAATAAAACAGAAAGAGAAAAATAACGTTAGATTTTCTTTGTAACGGTCGATATTTACATTTGAATTTCGACGTTACGTCATGTGACTTTCATCATCACGTGACGTCTTTGAAGGCAGTGATTACAATTCTGCCAAGGGAGGTAATCACTGTGAGGAGTTTGAGTTTTTATAATACTTCACGTTTGTAACGTCGCTTTTCATTGGATAAGCGTGACGTTTATATAGTTTATAAATATATATATGTCAATTTATGACGAAATCTCACCCTTTTCCGGCGGATGATACTTGTTGTATTATAAATTCGTTATAAACATTTCTGGCCGGTTATATGGCCGTAAAATAGGTTCATAGCAATATAACCATCGCATATCGGCTCGGGTTATATTTCCAAACAACCGCTTATATAGGGCCAAATAACCTGTCAAAAATCAACATCAAGTACATAACATACATGCAAATTAATATTTGCAAGTTGGAAACATAGACACATTGTTCTTCATTATTAAAGTATCCCTTATCTATCATTGGCTATAGATTCTAAACAGGACAACAGAACAAAATGCAATATTATTCAATCAAAAATTTAATTGAAAAGGAGTCAAGTTTTATACATTAATTTAAAATGAAAAACATTATGTGCTTAACAAGTAATGACTTCACTCTTCCTAGCCCTGAAACGAAAAATGAAGCCTTGGTAAGAATAAAAAATACATTTATTTCGGGAAATTACTTTTTAATGGGGAAAACATGCATACTCGAATTACCAGAAAGTAGTTGTTGATTCACGCGAAGCACCATCTGGGTCCTTTGGTCGACGAAGGGAGCCGCGGAGATACCATTTGGTAGAATCAATCCATCTTGTCATATTTTTGTTACTTTTATTCTGAAATATTATTTTCTTTTCTTTTTAGGAATACATGTAATGTTCAAATAACCGACTACCTTTGGGTGGTTGTTGGGGATACACGCGAATAACCAACTGATTCCGCTGTATGGAGACACGTGGAATCAAGGTGATTCCATAATGAAGAACGCATCTATCTTGCTATATATATTTTGCATTTATTCCTTAAAATACCTTCTGTTTTGAGGGAAAACATGCTAAGTTCGAATTACCAAGTACTGGTTGGAAGTTGGGGATTCGCACGAATAACCAACTTGGTCCCCTCCTTTATTCTGTATGATATGTTCGAACATAGTGGATGCATGGTCTGTGAGTCATGTTTACTATATCAGTAGTGTTCTATGCGTCAGTGTGTGGACAGTGTGTGAGGAGTGTCCTGTTTGCAGATCAGTCTTTGAGACCTGCCCTGTTTGGCAGGGGTTATGTGTGTCAGGTCAGTGTTTAAGTAGTGTCCTGTGTGTAAGTGTTTTAATAATGTCCTGCGTGTCAGTGTTTGAGTACCCTGTGTTTTCAGTGTTTGAGTAGTGTCCTGTGTGTCAGTGTTGCAGTAGTGTCCTGTGTGTCAGTGTTGCAGTAGTGTCAGTGTGTCAGTATTGTCCGTGTTGCTGTAGTGTCAGTAATGTCCTGTGTGTTAGTGTTGCAGTAGAGTCCTGTGTGTCACTAGTGTCCTTTGTGTCAGTGTGTCAGTACTGTCCGTGTTGCAGTAGTGTCCTGTGTTTCAGTGTGTCACTAATGCCATGTGTGTCAGTGTTGCAGAAGTGCCCTGTGTGTCAGTGTTGCAGTAGTGTCAGTAATGCCATGTGTGTCAGTATTGCCCTGTGTGTTAGTGTTGCAGTAGAGTCTTGTGTGTCATTAGTGTCCTGTGTGTCAGTTATGCAGTAGTGTCAGTGTGTCAGTAGTGTCCTATGTGTCAGTGGTGCAGTAGTGTCCTGTGTGTCAGTAATGTCCTGTGTGTCAGTGTTGCAGTAGTGTCTTGTGTATCAGTAGTGTCCTGTGTGTCAGTGTTGCAGTAGTGTCCTGTGTGTCAGTGTTGCAGTAGTGTCCTGTGTATCAGTATGTGAGTTGTGTCTTTTGTGTTCGTGTTTTGTGTGTGTTTAGTATCATGTGTGTAAACATTTGAGTAGTGTGTGAGTAGTTTTTATTGATTAATGTACGAAAGATTGTTAGTATTTTAGTGAAGTAGAAAGATTGTTAGTATTTTAGTGGAGTAGCGGGGGATCGAACTCGCAACCCCTAGATTTGTAGTCAGACAGTGTTACCACTGCACCACAGCGCCCGCTCTGATTTATAACTATTTTGGAAATCCCTTTATACATTATCACATTAGTAAACTTGAAATTGAGTAATGCAATTTAATTTTCACACCTAAATAGTTAATATAGCTGTTAGCTCTAAAGTGTTTTACAATGGCTGACATTCGTATCCTTGCTTGAGGGGTTATGATAAAGGACTTTACAAAAACGAGTAGTAAAAAGTAAGACTGTTGACAGGCAATAAAAAACATGCCAGAAAAAAAACATGTTTCGATAAATAGAATCGCAGTTCTAATATTGACAATAAGTAAGCGAAATTAATACTTGTTGTTAGTAATAAATGATGGTTTGAGACAAGTCTTTTTAATCTAATTTTCACATGGTATTTAAGATAATACTGTAAATGGAAATTAGGTGAAAAAGTATGTTAAAGCAGCAAAACTCCAGCCTCATACTATTTTTTAAGAAATTTTTAAAAAATTAATGTAAAAGGTAAAACATTTTCGAGGGAACAAAGAAACTAATTTACATATTGCAAAGAACACTTTCAATCCACGTAAATCAGCAAATAAATTTCGAAATATGCAAAAACAAAAACAAAACAAATATATGACAAGTTACATGAATTCTACCAAATGGTATTATCCAGCACTTTACGTCGACCAAGGCACACAGTTGGTTATTCGCGTGAATTCTCGGCTACCTACCAGAATGTAGTTGATAATTCGGATATTGTATGGATATTAACGGTTAACAAATGTTACGGTTATATAACAAGATATGTGTTTCCATAATATTGTTGCGAGCCGCTTCTGATGAAATTATCTTTGGTAGCGCTCAATCATGGGACTCGCTGATGAAAATCAAATGTTATTAAACGGACAATATGCGATCACTTTATGTGTTGAGCGGTATCTGTTGGCTTTCATATGACAATATTTGCTGTTCGACGTAGATAAAACGGGGAACTTTATTATACTCTCTTTGATGAGGGCCGTACATGCACTGTATACATAGGTGAACGCTCATATGCTGTTTAAGACGGACACATGGACGGACATGGATGATCACAAAATCCCTATAGCTCGATGCTGATAGGGTGACTCCGCATTAAAATAAAGACAGGACTTGTTTATAGACTGGTTTACAGTATAGAGGAATTCTTGTTATTATAATAAATAAATAAATACGCTTTCAAGTTTTCTATGATTTTAATTTTCCGAGCGCCTCAACAATATTTCTTGAGCAAAATTATGCAATAAATCAAACGACAGAATACGGATCTCGAGATAAATTCAATCACGAAATGTTATTAAACGTTCGTAAAATTTCTGTGTGTGGGGAGGTGTCGGTGACGGAATGAAAGAAATATTTTAAGAAAAAATAGAAAGCTACTGAATTAGATCTATATAAATCTAGACAAAGATAATGATACTTAATTAGATCTTTAAACTATATTCTAAGTTTAAATCTTAACTAAGGATAAAAATTAATCAGCGTTTTATATAAACTTAATTAAGAATTACCGCTGATTCTCGAACAATCAAAATACAAATGCTAAGTTTTAAATGCGAAACATTTACTTTTATTATTTAAGAAATTTAATAAACCTTTTTTTAAGAAATAAATTTTAAAACAAATTTACCAAAGTATGTAGTTCTGAATTTAGTATTACTTAAACGATAGAATGTACGGAAACTAATAGATTTCTTGTTTGGTAGTTGCGGAGTGAAGATCCCACAGTAAAACAACGCTTAAATACGAAGAATTTCCCACAGTACTAAACAATGTAGGAACTTGTGGGAAAAATACTCGAAAGGAGTTTTATCGGATCCCACACCTCCCACACTAAAAGTAATTTCAATAAACAACATAAAAATAATATTAAACATGCGTAATAGATAATCGTAGAACATTTATAAATAAGAATGCAAACTTGTTTAGGTAACATAATAAGGTAGCGGGGAATGTGTGGTGCGGAAAAACTTATTGGTGAATAAAAATTATAAAATCCTATAAATCCTAACGGACATCAGAGTGTAAAACAACAAAAATGATGACGTCATAAATCAAATACAGTGATGACGTCACGAAAGCTAACATACAAGATGGCGGAAATTTTATTACTAGAGTGATAAACAAACATTGATAAAACATGAATACAATATCTCTGGAGTCATTTAACGGTAAAATACTTGATAAAAATAAAATAGAAGTTACAGTTAAACGTATTTGGATACTCAAATATTACAGTTTGATTCTTATAGTAAGTAAATAAAACGTAAACAAAAGGCAATTACGGTAAAAAA